AACCTCTGGTACCTGTGAATGTAACCTTATTTAGAAATAGTCTTTTTGCAGATAAAATTAATTTAAGAATCTTGAGATGATCATACTGGATTTAAGGCAGGCCCTAAATCCAATGACTACTGTCCTTATGAGAGAAAGAAGGAGATTTGAGGCTTGGAGACACAGAGGGGGAAGATGGAAGCAAAGATTGGAGTGATGCTGCCGCAAGCCAAGGAATTCCTGGAGTCACCGGAAGCTGGAAGAGGCGAGGAAGGATTCTTCCCAAGAGCTTTTGGAAGGAGTGCTGCCTACCACAACTTGACTTTTCTGACTCTTGGACTCCAGAACTGAGATAATAAATTTCTGTTGTTTTAAGCCTCCAGGTTTGTGGTCATATGTTAAGGCAACCCTAGGAAATTAATACATCCTCCACGATACAAATTTCAAGGAATTAAGTTGTAGGGAATTGCTATAACCAGACATATCTACACGGATTGCTCTTTTCTTTCTAACAATACAAATAATCTTCTCAAGACATGACTTTCAAAACGTGACAGATGATAATACAGTCCTGAAAAGCCCAACCCAATTAAAATAAAAATGGCAGTTTAAAAGAGAACTACATATGACAGTTGTCAAAGGGCTGCCAGATAAAACAAGGAACTCAGTTAAATTGGAACTTCAGATAAACAACAAATAATTTTTTAGTATAGGAGTACTCCAAATAGCACATGAGAGGTATGTATGTATTTATATTATTTATTTTTTATTGAATAAATTTGACATGTAACGTTGTGTAAGTTTAAGGTGTACAGCATGTTACTTTGATGTACTTATATACTGTAATGTGTTTGCCAATGTAGTGATATTTACCACGTTACATAATTATAGTATAATATTATTATCTATATTCATTATACTGTGGATTAGATTCATGAATTTATTTATATTAAAAGATAATGGATTATCTGAAATTCAAATTTAACTAGGCATTGTGCATTTTTTAGTTGCTAAATCTGGAACCCTACAATTGCAGCAGAGAAACTGCACAGCTCACTCAAAGTCACACAGCTAATAAAATGTTGAGACTGGCTTTGAAATTATGTGGTCAGACTCCCTAGAAAGTCATGTACTTTCTAGTCCATCAGACTGCTTAAAGCAGGTATAATAAAACTTTGAAAAGGGCAGTAGCATTCCAAAAAGCTACCTGGTTGTTCTGTAAAACAGGTTATAAAAGTGGAAGAATGATGGCCAGTTTTGCCTGTTGAGCCCACCTCAGTGCTTATTACATATAAAGATTCTGAAGATGCAAAGTCCAAACAACCTTCTGGCGATGGTGGGGATGGTGGAAATGAGTTTTCCCTTCCATTATTTTGTGCAAGGGTGAGATGGGACATGGAAGGCATAGGCATTTTGGTTTTGCTGGGCAGTAGGTGAGGGTATCAACGTAATAAATGACGAGAGTGTAATTTCTGCTAATTCTAATAGTTACACAAATATTTTTGCTTACATGCACCTTTTTCCAAAGTCCACATGGCTCCTAGTCATCAGCAGCCTTAAAATCTCAATAGGTTTTTGAACCCCCCTCACCCAGTTGATCTCAGATGCTACTGGACATTCTCCAAACCGTCCCTCTCATTTTCCTTTCCTTCTCCAGTTCCACAACCATAAGCCCCATTCAGGCCCTCAAAATTATGTATCTGTATATCTACATCTATATCTGTAGATATATAAAGTTCACAAATCTGAAGGGACCCAATGCTATCTACCCAATCATATGCTTAACACCATCTGTTATTTACAGGTGGGTCTATGATAAATTTTAATCAATCCCCAACTTAACTCAGGTTGTTTCCTCTGTTTATATATCTCCTCTCATATCTACCAACTAAAAACTTCATAAATGCCAGGCAAGTGAGTCAGATAGGGAAGCTGGATTAGAGTTTGCATTTTAAACACTTTGGGATATTCTTCACTTCTACAAAGTAATATTTTCTCTCCCATTTTTCTTAAGAACACGGCCCGCTCATTTTATCTTTAAAAAATTCCTATTTTGAGCAGAGGCATCTGGAGAGAATAAATTGCTACTACAAGAAAGACAGTGGTGCATACACAGTGCCATCCAGACTCACAATTGTGGAGACACGGAACGGTGGAACAAGACTGTGCATGCACTGCCTAGAGGGCAGATGCTACTTAGTTCAGTTAACTGGCATCATATTGTTGCCAGAGTTTGTCTGATGCTTTCTCATGATGACACTGACTTTATGCACTGTTGACAAGAATGTCACACAGGATGTCCCTTTCTCAGCGCATCATATCAGCAGGGTCATTACATCTGTCTGTTTCATTACTGCTGATGTTAACTTTGCACTTGGTTAAAAGGATGTCTTCCAAGTTTCTCTACTGTAAAGTTACTTTTTTAACCCTTTGTAATTTATATGTATCTTGTGGGGAAATACTTTGAAATGATGCAAATATCCTGTTTCTCATCATAATTTTGCACATATAGTTTTAGCCTCAATTGATGATTTTTGCCTGTAATAATTATTTAGTTTTATTTTTATTTTTTGCGGTACGCGGGCCTCTCACTGTTGTGGCCTCTCCTGTTGCGGAACACAGGCTGCGGACGCGCAGGCTCAGCGGCCATGGCTCACGGGCCCAGCCGCTCCGCGGCATGTGGGATCCTCCCGGGTCAGGGCACGAACCCGTGTCCCCTGCACCGGCTGGCGGACTCCCAACCACTGCGCCACCAGGGAAGCCCTCTATCCATCTTAACTGCTATCTATCTGTATATATATTAGAAACCATCAGTTCATACCGATACCTTTCTAACACCACAAGGTGCATTCTAGCTTTCCCCCATTCCATGTCTTTGGCCTCTTTCTCCAGCAGTAAGAAATCTGACTCTTCTTATCTACAATATACTTACGTAGCTGCTCATTCCTAGCATATGCAGTAAGTAGTTTCAGAATTGAAAATCATTCTCTGAAGTACATTATTTATATATCACTCTTTTTGTCTTGAGTTTTATACTGCATAACCCAAATATGGTTTTACTTAATCACTTAGAGTAGCTGTTTTATTCCCATTCCCCTGAGGTGTGGTTATAGATATCAACAGGATGCAGGAACCTATCTATCCATCTATCTATCCATCCTTCCATTCACTCATCCATTTCTTTCTGTAATATTGCCATGGTTAAAGAGTTAGAACTATACAAGAAAGTTTACTTGGATAGTGACAAGTATATTGTTGACATTCTTGTCAACAATGCATATAGGACTTCCTCCTTACCCCTCTTACCCCATTCCTACCCCACATTCTGGACACCTGTTCTTACCGATAATGTGTTATGTTATCGATCTCATTCGTTTCTGGATTTTACTTCTGATATTTCTTTTTGGAGAAATGAACAGATAATGCATAATCCGTTTTACTCCCTTCTTTCTTACCTAAAACATTTCATAATGTTGATACCCTTTGCACTTTGCTTTTTCACTTAATAATATGTCCTGTAACACTTTCCATATCAATTCCTAAAGATTTTCCTTATTTATTTTACAGTTGCGTATTATTTCATCATGTGGGTGTACCATGGCTTATTTAACCACCTCTTCTATTTATGGGCATTTTATAATTACAAAAAATTCTGCAATAAATAATTGTGTGCATATGTATTTAATATTGTTGGGAGGGCGTATCTAGGACTAAAATTTTGATCTCCTGATGCCTGGCTCAATTCTGTTTTAGATCAAATGTTGTAATGTAATGTAATTAAGATTGCTCTGAAGACTAGAAAATGTTTTATAAATACAGTGAAATAATACTATGGTAATAGTATTATTTTTGTCCTCCAAGCTAATTGTAACTTCTTTTGAGACCAGCAGTTCAATTCCATAAACATTTGTCCTCAGCTACTAAACCCGATGGTTAATTTTGAAAACTCCCCGTGTTTAAATTCTAACATTTCTAGTCATACCTTCATTCATTAAGAATATTCTGATATTTACTAGTTTGTACTTAAACATTAAATCTATTATTTGTATCATCTCCAATCTTACAAAACCCACTGTTATGTTACTCATTTTCTCTAGCTTATTTTTGTAGAGACAGGAGATAAAAATTACGAATTATGGTCTTATTTGGTTCCTTTCCCTGCCTAAGTATGGATGTCAAAAAAAGTGGGAGGAGAAAAACAAGCTCCTGTGATTCCAGGAGCACTGTGCAGGTCGTCTGACAATGAGTTAGAAGCTCAGGGGCTCTCCTTCTTAGTGGGAGGAATTACACCCAAATCCAGCTTGCTTTAGGAATGTAGGCCCTCAGATCTCCACATCCCGAAGCGGTGTTATTTCGAAACGTGCAAAAGATGCTATACGGTATGGTTAGGGTCTGTCTTTTGTCCTGCCCCTAACCAGGGTTCAAGGAATAATTAACGTGCCCCAGGTAAGTTCATCAGGAGATTGCCTTGTGATATGGAATCTAGGAACTAAAGAGTATTTGCCTTGTCTTTTCCTTCCTCATGGACTACAGAGACCTGTTTAATCTACCATGAGATTACTGCCAGGTCCAACCAAGCCTCAGAAAATCACTTGCTGGGAATCTCCAAAGTTTTGGTGAGATGTTAGTCCAAGATTCTGCAGTTTCAGGGGATTCAATGGAGCAAAAAAGAATTTCAGGTTTGTGAAAAGGTGAATTCTGATATGGCTTCAAAAATGTGCTTCATCTACTTAACTGATTATGTCACTAATTATATATAATGTAGAGTCTAATTTGTCAGCAGTTTGGTAGGGACCTTGCTGTCTGGGTTGGGACAATTCAGAGTTTTCAAACTTGCATCATAACCTCTTCCTCTACGGTCACAGGAGTCAGAAGATATTTCGAGCCACATCATTGAACCGAAACTTCTAAAACTGATATTATAGTTGACTTTTTTTTAACTTAAGCAACCACAAGGAAAACAAAGTTTGTCAAAAACACAGAGAATAAGCTTCCAGGTGACATTTTTCTTATGTTCTTACCTCCTCGATCTCGGGCAGCTAAACTCTGACCCCTTCTTAATGTAATGTCCAATTGGTACATTCCGGGAACAGCCAAGGGGACATCTGTATTACTGGTTCCAGCAGTATTTATTTTCTGAAAACCAAGAAAAATATACAAAATATTAAATTTATTATCTCTATTTTATTTCCTCCAACGGGGGACCATGTGTAGCTAAATGCAAACTCCAAGAATTAGTCAATATAATAAATCATCTTATGAATTCACACAGCATCATAATCACCCAGTTCTCTGAAGGTTTTGAAATTCATGAAATTATTTAGACTCAAAATAAAGACACAGTAGTTACAGGAATTCATGTTTTAACTCAGATCAGAATAACACATAAAATATGAAAAACATTTCCCATGGCAAGTCCCACATAATTCAACTAAGAAAGACTAGCAAAGAAATAGTGTCTGAAGTAAAAACACAATCAGTGATGAATGGAGAATAAAGGTATGGGTAACTGAGTTGAAAAGTAAAATGATTTATTCAGGTGACTTTGTTGATTCATTTATCCATGCAAAGGGGCTCATACTGATGGATTACACATGTCTATTTTAGCCCCAACATAAAATATGATGCAATTATACAGAAATAAATTCAACCAGCATTTTGACAGTACTTGCAAGAAATAAATTCTCAGTAGGGCTAAATTCCTAATGCTGCTTTCTATGGACTAAAGGTGCACAAGCTATTTCTAGAACTAAAAATCTTTGCAAGCCTACCTCTATAGAATATCTTTAGCGACAATATACTAGGCATTGAGTTATAAATGCACTAGCAAGAGGAATAACTATTATTAAAGCAACAGAAGAGAAACATAGAGTAAAAATTTTACAGGTCATATTTTATAGTTTCTGCCACATTGAATACAGCAGGAAAACTTACTTTTCTTCACATGTTTGAGGTGATTTTAAATCCTTATAGTTTTTTTCCAATTCAAAAAGAAATATACTTTTGTTTTGGAATAATATGCATGGATAAGGTAAAATAGTAGATACCATTCCAGCTCTTTAATTCTATAGTTTACATGAAATACAGCTAGAAAGCAGTTTTTTTTTTAATGTTTCAAGACCAAGATGAGGAGATTTCCTATGGGAGCAATTATCATTTAAAATAAGAAGCAGCACAACTTTGACTGATAACCTAAACTTATCATTTCTCCTCTGGTAGCAATAAAAAAGAATTCACTTTTTTTCACGATATCCCTGTTTCTATGAATGACAGCACCATTCCCCCAGCCACTCAGGCTAGAAATCTACAAGCATTTCCCTCTTCCCACATCCAAATAGTTGCCAAATCCCATCCACTTCATTTCCACATTACCTCTCCTGGTTGTCTTTTTCTTTTAATTCCTTTTTTTCTTTCTTTTCTTTTAATTCCTTTAACCAAGAATTTGGGTCAGGGCTTCAAACAACAGAGGAGTAAAAGGTAAAATGATTTTCTTTCACTTTCCCCAAACATCCAACTGCCCCACCTCCTTGGGATTACCAATTTTGACAATTTAGGGTATATCCTTCTACATTTTGAATGTCTTATACAAATACACATACATAGAGGTTAATTTTTCTGTGGTTGAGTTTCCAGTTTTTGTTTGAGCAAAGTATTACATTTCGCTTATTATTTCACAATTATTTAACTTAAGAAAAATATCATGGGCACTTTCCTAATCAATACACATAGATCTACTTTTTTTTTGAGGTACATGATTTTCCACAGTGTTGGGATTGCCATAATTTCTTCAATTCTTTTCCTAATGATGAACATATGAGTTGGCTTCAGTATTTGCCACTGCACAAGAACTTGTGCTTTTATTTCTCTTACAGGATGAATTTTTCCAAAAAGTTTTAAATAGTTCACACTCCTACTGAAAGTGCACAAGTGTCTATTTCCCATATCCTAGTCAGCACAGGATATTACTAATTTTCAAGTTTCATGGGCAAAAACATTATCTTTTTTCAAAACACATTTCCAGCACTATGGTAAGGTGTCTTGAAACTAGCATAAATGGTAAGAGAGTGATAGATCTTCACTGGACCACACAGATGATTCCCACTTGGAAAGAGGAAGCCAACCGATGTCTTCTGAATGCCTTTTCAAAGAACAGTTTGTATTTGGGTTTAACTAATAAGCAAGATTTAAATTAAAATCCAGCAAACATTTGTTAAGCTCCTAGTATGTTCTAAGACTTTCTTGAGGCTCTGTTTTATATATATATATATACACACACATTGTTTCAAAATAAACAAATCCACAAATATTAAATATTTATAATATTAAATATTAGATTTATTACTTTCTAAAAAATGGAATAAAATCTATAGGAAAGTAGAAATTTTCTGCTGACCTTGCATCCTATTCTAGTGTTTTGACAGGTACCTTAAAGGCAGAAAAGTTTGAATGCTCAGATACCTTTATTTTTTTGTAGCTTTCACTGCTCTATTCAGTGCTTCTTGAAGTTTAGAGCGAATAATTTACAGAGCATCTGGTTTAACATTTTAAAATGTATACTACATGAGCAAATTAAGGAATTTCCAAAGGTAATTTTAATTATACCAGATTTTCCACTTTTGCTGTTTGAGAATTCAACACCTAGTTAAGAGATGACTTCACTGGACTTACATTTATTGGCTTTTTAAAGCCTGAATAATATTCCATTTTGTGTATATGTGTGTGTGTGTGTGTGTGTGTATTTAGAGATCATATTTTCTTTATCCATTCCTCTGTGACAGGCATTTAGGTTATTTCCATATCTTGGCTATTGTGAATAATGCTGTAATAAATGTGGGAGTGCAGATATATCTCCAAGAAACTGATTTCATTTCTTTTGGATGTACAGCACCTTCCCCATCGTGTTCTCTATGTATTCCTATCCAGCCTTCAAGGACCATTTCATTAGCACTTTATATATTTCTTGCCCATTATCACATTATATCTCAAAATGTCATATTTTCCAGTTTAGATTGTAAACTTTTAACAACAGGGAATAGGGTGTTTAAGCATCCAACTGAACACAAAATGTGATGGAGACTATGAGGATAGAAAATGTCTTTGCGAGCATGTGTGTCTAGCTGAGTAGACACACACATGGGGATCTATAACAAAGTTGGCTACTCCATGGGCACTTTTTTTTCTCTCCTCTCCTGTGCCCGTGTATGGCATCTAATCTGTTTTGGCACCTTCTATCCAAAAAAACCTTCTCAATACAGTGCTTTAGGCCGACGTTAACAATTGATCAAAATTGCACTTAAAAAGAAACCCTGTCCACTCAAGAGCTATCCTTAAAGACAGACTGTGATATAATGGAGTTATTAAGTCATTCATGAAAGAAGACCAATTATTGTGGGACAAGAATTAGAGGTGGCTTCACAGAGATGACAATAGAGCAGTCTGAAAACAGGAGTAGGACTTTAACAAGTAAAGATTTGGAAGAAGGGAGGAGGAGAAAATCAACACAAGCCCAACGGTGAGTAGTTACAAGAGGGTGTGTCATTGGATTGTGTGAGAAATAAGGTGGAAAGGAAGACTGATATTCAGCCATGCCAGCCTGAGAAGAGTTTCAACCTGTCACGGGCTCTTGAAGAGAGAAGCAGTATAGCCAGGACTCATTTAACAAACATTTATCGCCTACCTTTCATGTTTCCTGTTCTGGACTAAGTAATTAGATTTCAGAAAGGAGGAAACTCAGCCTTTTATCTCTGTAGGATGGATGAGAGTAGAGAAATCCTGTGGATACAGGAATTATTTAAAAGGTTTTACGACAGTCCAGTTTAAGTCACAAGGGCCTGATCTGGTCAGCGGAAATGGAAATAAAAGATGAATTTGAGACATTGAGGAGAGTCAATCAACTGAATTGTCAACTGACAAGATGTAGGGGATATGGGAAAGGGATGGATGAGTCACACAGAAGTTTGAGCTGAGCTCGCGGGAGATTGGTAATGTCAGCAGCAGAGAGCAGAAAAGAGAGGAGGAGCAAGTTCCAGGCCACCCCTGTGTCAGCCTCCAAGGATATCCCCAACTCTAGCAAAAAAGAAAGTCAAGAACTTAAACAGATCTAGAGACATATCTCCCCTCAGGCTCAGTGAAATGGTTCCAAGAAGAAAATTGGATTATGGAGGGATACTAGAAATATAATTTTTATGGGTATAAAGTATATTTTTCAAATGTTTATTAAGTTCTCAAACGTAAGGATGTATTAGGAAAGATGTGTCTGAAGTACCAGGCACTCACACAGCTCTAAAACAAACTTTGTCATTTAAAATATTTTTTATGTTTTCTCAGAGTTAACATTTATTTAGTGACCATTATAGGAAATTCAAATACTCTTCCCCTCGCTAAACTGCTATGTCCCACATTTAGATGGGTGCTGCTATTTTTTTAACCACTTTACTGAGGTATGATTGATATGCAAAAAGCTGTACGTATGTAATTTATACAACTCCATGAGTTTGGGAATAAGTATACATATGTGAAACTATCACCACCAAGGCCACAAATGCATCCAACCCCTTCCAAAGTTTCTTCCCACGCCCTTTATATTATTATCATTTGCGTGTGTGTGTGTGTGTGCGCGCATGCACGCGCATGTGGTGAGAATACTTATCATGAGATCTACCCTCTTAGAAAACTTAAAGTATGCAATACAGTATTGTTAGCTATAGGCACTATGCTATATAGTGGATCTCAGAACTTATTCATCCTGCGTAACTGAAATTTTGTACACTTTGACCATTACCTCCCCATTTTCTCCTCTCCTCACAGCCCCTGGAAACCACCATTCTACTCCCTGCTTCTATGAGTTTTACTATTTTAGATTCATATTATATGTAAGTGAAACCGTACAGCATTTGTCTTTCTGTGACTGGCTTGTTTCACTTGGCATAATGGTCTCCAGGTCCATTCATGGTGTTGAAAATGGCAGATTTTCCTTCTCTCTTAAGGTTGAATAATATTCCATTGTATGTATATACCAAATTTTCTTTATCCATTCATCCGCCAATGGACATATAGGTTGTTTTCGTATCTTGGATATTGTGAATAATACTGCAATAAACATGGGAGTGCAGGTATCTCTTTGAGATCCTGATTTA